AAATAAAATAAAATAAAATAAAATAAAATAAAATAAAATAAGTTAAAATAAAATAAAATAAAATAAAATGAATTAAAACAGAAATCAAAATATATAAAAATTAAATTAAATTCAACTATGTTAAATTAACAGTAACAGTAAATGAATTTATATTATGACAATTAAATTAAAGTAATATTTGGGTATTTTTTGCGCTCTGTATCAAAAACGACAAATATTGAAGTTGTATTATATTTGAAGAAAGTGCGCGATATGTAGACGCGAGTTTTAAGATTATAAATTAAATGTCGAGAAGAAAGTCACTATTTTGCCTACCATCTAAATGCCTTCGAAAATATATGTATAAACTAGCACCGACATTCTTAAAAATAAAGAAGATTTAAATGCTTTATAAATCGAAAATTTTTATGAAAATCGTCTTATCATAAATTAATTTAACTAAATTAAGTTAAAAAATAATAATTTTTATTTTCTAAAAATCACCGAAAAATCACCCAAATGTCAAAATGCTTTCTCACACCAATACAATTTAAGCATTTGAATCGTCCCCCAACACACTCAAACTCTTTGCCTTTCAAGCGTGCATAACACACACACATACAAACAAGCAAACAAATCACTAACAGACTTTTAAATAATAGCCACGTTGTAATGCATACCAATTAGCTTGCAGTCATCAGCCGAACAGCGACAGTAACTTTCAGCCAGAATTTTGTGGTGTTCTGCATTCAGTTGTGGCGCTGTGATAGCCGCGGTTAAGCGCGTGTGTGGTTAAGTACGTTGAATTTCTACTTCTAATTGCCTGGAAGCATTCTAACAGTCAAATTTTTAACGAATATCGTCACATCATTTGCGTGATTTAATTGGAACGTTACAATTATTTTTCTTATACATACATCTATCGCACGTTTATGTACATTTAGCGTTTTATTTATTTGTTACAATTTACTTTTATTATTTCTCCGCGAAACCGGAAGACAATTAAATGGCAAATACTTTCAAATCACGTACGCACTCGTGGGTGTAATGATCGGGATAAAATCCGAATTTGCGATTGTGTGGAATGTTTTATTTTTTAGTGATAAAGAAAAGAGGATTAGATGAAAAAAAAAATAAAATTATATATGGAGGATGGAGGGAAGCAACGGCGGACTATGATCTATTTTGAAAAAAGAGACATAATCAAATATCTCTAGAAGGAGGAGAGATAGCGAAATAATTATAACGGTATTTTAAAGCTTTCGGGATAGTATCGTTGCATAAAAGAATCACATAAACCCTCGGAAACAGAAGGATTCCAATTTTTTTTTGTTTTTGTTTTTTTGTTTTTTTTTTTGAACAGAAACCAACCTGCAGTCTTCTTTTTCAAAAATTTTCTACAAATAATTTTGCTTTACTTGAGTCAAGGAATCCATTTGTATGGTCCCAAGAACCGAAAAATGTACTATTTTTATATTTCAAAAATAAAAAAAAACTATATAAAATGGGCTTTGAGGTCAATCATTCAATTGGGCCATTAAAATAAAATATTAGATTTTATGTAGTTTTTTTTTTACTTAAACCAGGGACCGAGAACGCGTTCCGGTTTTGATTTAGTTCTGCATGAGAACAAAATACAGTAGGCAAGAACATTTTCACAAAAGAACCAAACTGGAACAAAAGTATTGGAGAAATTTTAAAGGGATCGAAATGAGAACAATTGGTTCGGGAAAACTCACGGGAATGCTCTCAATAAGAACAGAATGAGAACAAAACTTTCGGGTACGTTTCCAATGAGAGCAAAATAAGAACGAAAGTATCGAAAACATTTTCAAGGAGGATAAAATGAGAACAAATGTCTGGTGAACGTTCTACTATAGAACAAAATGGAAACAGACATTTTGAGAGCTTAATCCTTTCAGTGAGGACCATTATTTTTAATTCTAAGCCAGAGGAAAGCTAGATCATTTAAACTTCCAGATAGTTTATCAGTAGGGTGAACTGTTCATTTATGGAAAAAAAATTCATTTGCTATGCAAGAAAAGTTCGTGTCTTAAGTCTTTCGTGGACTTAATTTGCATAAATATCTTTCAGTTTTATTTGATTAATTCTATTTTTCAAACAATTCAAACTAATAAACGCTATGTGAAAAATTTTGTTCTCGCTTCTGTTCTACGCGAATAGTTCAGAGAAGATTTGATCCCGTTTCGTTCTCTGTCAGAAATTTCCTGAGAATTTAGTTCCCAAATTGTTATCCGAGAGAAAGTTTCTTAGACTTTTGTTTCCGTTTTATGCTTTGCCAGAATTTTCCGGAGACATTTGTTCCCATTTTGTTCTCTTATAAATATTCCCGAAAGTATTGTTCGCATTTTGTTCTCTTTGGGAACGTTCCATAGGGTTTTGTTCTTAATATAATTCCCGTTGAGAATGTTCTCGACAGTTTTGTTCTCACTTTCGTTCTTGTGAAAATGCTCGCGAAGGTTGTTTTCTCATTTCGATTTGGATTTCTAAGCGTTCTTGGAAACGAAACTACGAGAACGACATTTAGTTTCTATCATATCTTTTTCTCTCGCGTTTTTGAGTTTTTGCGACCACGCAAATGGAAAAAATTAAAAAGTTTCTCTTTTTGACAGTCAAGGAATTCTTTTATCCAAGGAGACTATTTTTCCTGAATTATTCATCTCACCGTTACATTTATTTCGCTATCTCTTCTCGTTCCCGAGATAATTAATTGCATAATTACGTACATAAAAATATACAAAACAATACTCAGTACTGTAGAACTTATATGTGACCTTCTAATTGCTAAAAAAATGAAATTTCTTATAGAACATTCCTATTCCTTATTGAAATCGCTGCAAACAAAAGACTTTAGAAAAGTACCTCAATTCACGAGCTCTCCTTACAACAATTACTACTGCCTATCTGTGTACGTGTGCAGACAGACTCATAACGGTAAAATGTGTGTAAACACTGCAAAATACCACACAAATAAACACAAATAAAAAGGAAAACTATGTATGTACTATACACTCATATACCACATGTAAACAGAAAGAATTATTTTCTTTGCCACCATCAATCAAAAAAACAATATTTAATCAGCAGTAGCAGCCGATGCATCATACAATCAATCATACCACTACCAGAGAACCCACTACGCATATGCAAATTAGTATTGTGACCAATACACAAGCACCCACACAAGCAGACGCACACACACAGATACTCAAATTTTACAATGACCTTATTATAAACGCACAAGTATTCACATATTTGTTTTGTAGCCACTTGAAAATATGTATGAAGTGTGACTAAAATTGATTTTACAGCGAAATATACTTCCCGATTTGTCAGCGGCTGGCAGCGAGAATATTTTGTATATATTAAATTATTTATTCTTTTTTATTATTGTTTATTGTATTCGGTTTTTTTTTTTCTCGCGCTGTAGTCGTATGCGTATTGAAATTCGATTTACATGCAGGACACGCACAGCCGCGGCTTTCCTTATACGTCAGGAAAACACATTGTGTTGGAGGCTTTTTGCTTTGTTTTGTTTTTGTTTTTTTTTTTTTCTTAATTTTTTGTTGTTCGTTTTTCTTACTATTTTGTTGTTCGTTATTAATACTAATCATCTTTTTTTATAAGTGTTTGCTTGTATTTTTTATTATTTGCTGTAATCGAAATATTTCGTAAGTCTTCGAGTTACGCTAAATTTTTGTATAACTTTCATTTGTTTATCAGCCATCAAGCTGGTAACTTTACTGTCTTTCGCGCGTAGCGGCAGTGAGAGTGTACATATGTACATATGTATTTCTTACGAATCGAAATTATTCACAAGGCGGTAGATAATTTTTATGTGCACCCAATAAAATACATCATAAGAAGTACGTGACTCGTCTTCGCCGCCATCTTCATTGTGCCGCAAACTTGACAGACAAATTGCTAACATTTGTAAAAATGATTAATAATTATGTATATTTCTCTGTTTCCATTACAGTCCAAAACGTGAAAAATTACACATTTAAACAGTAGCCGCTTTTAAATAAAAGAAAGAAGAAAAGGAGGCGTGTACAATCATCGGCATAAAGTACTCGTACTTAAGTGAAACGGATACGAAGAAACGGTGCGGCAGCGTAGCAGGAAAGTCTTAGTGGAAAAGTGCTGCTGCTGAAGAGCGAAGATGGGTGTGGTGAGCGGTGGCGCAGCAGCGTGTGTGCTGGTAAGTTCTGGTGATTGATAATGTGCTTAAAAATGAGCGGTGCTTTAAGCAGATTAGTGAAGAATTAAAAAGCAATTTATAGCCGCATGCTTGTCCTTTTTTTGATTTTGATAATTGTAGTATTAAAGCGCATTTTTAATTTAATTTTCTAAGAGCAAAACATAAAGTCAATGTCATCCACCTTTCCTCGAAATGACCAGCGCCACTATGGGCCTATTTAACTAAGCGCTGGGTGTGTATGCATAGATTTGAGTAAAGTGGGTAATAACACCGGCATTCAAGAAAACAAGTGGTCTGTGCTTTTAACCAGACCCATCTACCGAAATGTATTTCGACCCACTGAATCTGAATCTGAGGTCTGTTTGACTCGTACACCTTCTAAATTCCGAGTTAGTTCAGGGAATTTTGAAAAATAGCAAAAAATTCGATGCAATTTTTGCAATTTACTCGAAATTTTACGGTTTTACGTGTCAAACGGACCTCAGATTCAGATTCAGTGGGTCGAAATAGATGTCCGTAGATAGTTTTTTTTTAGGTGCCGTTGTAATCACGACCTTGAACGTATTCAAGCAAAAACCGGATGCATATATGTACGTTTTTTTTACCATTTTGAAAAAATAGACTTAATTTTTTGTGACATAATATTTTGGTCATTATATAAATAACTAGATAGCATACTTGTTTTAAAAATGGCCATACATGTGTATATTTTTGGTGATTTAAAGACTGAACATGAATTTCTGGAGATTTAAGAATTGACCAAATTTGTTAATAATTTTAAAACCAGAGTTGAATTTTTGATAATCAAAAAGTTCAATACAACTTTTGGTCATTCAAAATCTGGACATAATTTTTTGCCATTAAACAATTGAATACCTGGATATAATTTTTTAACATTTAATAGCTGCACATAATTTTTGTCATTTAAGAGTTAGAAATAATTTTTTTAAAACTAAATAACTTCACATAATTTTTGTAATTTAAAAGTTTGACATAATTTTTTTTCATAGAATTTGTCAACTGGACATAATTTGCATCAAAGCGTAGATTTCTAAAAAAAATGGCACACACAATAATTTTGGTCAAATGGGTCGACATTTTTATTAATTCAAAAATGGCACTTAATTTTGATTGATTTAAGAACATGGCATAAAAATTTGGTCATTACATATGTAAATAACTAGACTACAACGTTTCTAAAATGGGCATACATATGTACATACATACATGTGTATATTTTTGGTGATTTCAAAACTGAGCATGACTTTTTGGTCATTAAAAATCTGGACATACTTTTTTTGTCATTGAATTTTTGAGTAATTCAAAAGCTGAACATCACTTTTTGATAATTAATTAACTGCACATAATTTTTCTCATTTAAAAAGTGGACACAATATTTTGGTCATTTAAATTCTAGACATTATTTTTTGGTCCTTAAATTTTTAATATTTTTAAACCTGGAAATGTTTTTTTTTTTTTAATACTGAATTACCGGACATAATTTATTAGTCAATGAATTGGTAGTAATGGACATAATTTTATTAACACTGAACAACTGGACAAAATATTTTGTGATTTTAAAATTGGGCATACATTTTTAATAATTTAAAAATTAAGACATTATTTGTTTTAAAACTAAACATGAACTTTTAGGAAATCAAAACCTTGATATTTATATGTAACTATTTGGCTATTGAATAACTGGACTTAATTTTTGGTAATTTAAAAACCGGAATTTAAATTTTGATATTCTAAAATTTGAACATATTCAATTGATAGTGAAAAGTGATCATAATTTTTCGGCTTTTAAAGTTGAATAAATAATACCAAAAATTAACAAAGATTCAATACCAACTTTTACATTCGTGCATTCATATACGAATAGGGAAGCAGAGAAAAAGGGAGGCGCTACAAGATTAACTCTTCTTCAAACTGTCCTAACGTTTTCATTAAGTTAAGATAACTGTTGATGGGTGGGTGGGTTCCAAATAAACTCAACATTGACATTGTTAAGAAGCGCCTGGTTGTTTGAAGCTGTTGAAGTTACTTCAACGAATACCTCTTGAGATTTCGATAAACACTATCCCTAAATATAATTGAGTATTATCCCATTGGCTGAGCGGCAGATCCACAGCTCAATAATTAATCAACCAATTCGTTACACTGAATACTCTGATTACCAGTGAGCTGGTACATAATAAGCTCGAGCCCTTTCCTCTTCAAAATGGTATTTATGGCCTTAAACTCATATTCCTGGACAAATTTTAAGGAGACATTCGCGTTTCCCTTAACTTTAAAACAGCCTGCCTGACTCCGATCTCATATCGCCACCATCTCCCAAACGCAGACTGATACTACATTCTTGCACAGAATACTTCTGTCGACCCATCGCCTTGATCACTTCTTCTTGAATCATAAGAAGTAATTCCCATCGAGTAACTCCTGAGGTTGTACCTGATCAAAAGGTCTTCATTGCAAACTTTATTCTCAATAAAAGTTCATTCCCAAACTTAAAATGTTTAATATTCTCTACCCCTAAAGACAGATTCATCGCTTTAGTTCAGAACTTTTTCTCCACAACAACAACCCAAGCCCATCTGACGTAATTTCTTATAACTACATATTTTTTATTCAATTATCTAACTTAGTATTTCAATAAATATTTCTCTTAACCATCCACAGCTACTCTGCTGCTCCTTGAGTAGCCCCACATTGGCTCACATTCGCATCGATGCACCAGAAGTGCATGCCATCGAACCGGCATCCCACACCGCGTCGAGTTTTGTGCGTTCAGCTGTGGAAAGCATTCCTGCTGAAGACCAGGCTATGTTAACACTCAGCCGCTTCAGCATGCGTCCTTCATTTGGTGATGTCTTTTTACCCCTGCGTAGCGCAGTTGAAAGCGTACCTTCGGTGGATTTGCATAAACTCAGTGAATTGACTGATTCCCTGGGAGTACGCTCGTTCATACGTGACTCAGTTGAGGCGTTACCAGCGGATGGTGACGACGATGAAGATGAAGATACAGAATTGGTGGCGAATGCAGAATTAATACGTAGCACCGCTGCTACTCATACAGAAGGCGCATCCGCATACGAACGGGAAACTGATGTGGAGGCATTTGCCGCACCTGATCCCTGGACTGTGTCGGACAAATATGCTGCTTTTGCCGCGCCATCGCTGGATAAGAAGTACTTGCCCCAACCTTACCGCGCTGACTCACCCTATCAACAGCTTTTGAATCCCAAGGAAGTGGAACACTTCGACCAACTCGACGATGTGGAGCTACTGCGCGAGCAATTCGGTTATGGTGCGCTGACGCATAGTCAAAACGGTGATATTGGTGAATATTATGGTGCGCCAACACACTTGAAATCTGCACCACCTGCGCGTAAGAATTACAACAATTCGCCGAAGGTGCTATGTCACATCACCAATTGGGCATTCTATCGAAAGGCGGATGGCAAATTCGTGCCGGAAAATTTGGACACCAGCCTATGTACTACCATCATTTACTCCTTCGCATCACTGGATCCTGATCACTTGACCATCAAAGAGTTTGATCCATGGGTAGATGTAGAGAACCAATACTATAATCGTGCTGTGGAATCGGGGGTACCGGTTATGATTGCCTTGGGTGGGTGGACCGACTCAACGGGCGACAAGTATTCCCGACTTGCTGGCAATGAAATTAAGCGTAAAGTTTTCTCATCGAATTTGGTTGGCTTTCTAAAACGCAATGGCTTCGCGGGCTTGCATTTGGATTGGAATTATCCAAAATGTTGGCAGAGCGACTGCTCCAAGGGGCCGTCGAGCGATAAACCCAACTTGACCAAACTACTGCGTGAGATACGAAACGAATTCGACCGCGTCGACAAGAAGTTGCAACTTGGTGTTGCGCTATCGGGCTATAAAGAGATCATTACCGAGGCGTATGAGCTCGCGGAAATATCAAAGATAGTTGACTACATGACCGTTATGACGTACGATTATCATGGCGCGTGGGAAGGACGCACTGGTCATGTCAGTCCACTCTACGGACGGAAAGGTGACCGCTACCCGCAATATAATACGGACTACGCCATGCAACTTTTGGTCAAGTCTGGCGCCAAGCGTGAAAAGCTCATTATGGGTATACCATTTTACGGGCAATCATTCACGCTCGAACGTGCCAGCACCTCTTTGGTGGGTGAGGGTGTAGCCACGTCTGCACCTGGCGAGCCGGGCGAATTCACCAAGCAGCCAGGTATGTTGGCATATTACGAAATTTGTCATCGCATACGCAAGGACAAATGGCTCACCGGCCGTGATGTCGAACGCAAGTCGGGCCCCTATGCCATGTTGCGCAATCAGTGGGTCGGCTATGAGGACCCTGCTTCAGTAGAAGCAAAGGCTCGATATGCCGCAAATAATGACTTTGGTGGCGTTGCGGCGTGGACTGTAGATTTGGACGATTTCCAGAATCGCTGCTGTAGCGAATCTTTCCCACTACTCAAAGCAATTAATCGCGCGCTTGGGTTACTAAACAGCGAACCGCCGACTCGCGGGAATTGTGCGCGCCCATCCGCGCCGGTTACTCCTGTACCGCCAGTCATGACGACAGTAAGTAGCGATGGTTCTCCTGGTAGCACGATTTCGCCACAGCATGACCATATAACATCAACTACGCCAATCACCTGGTGGCCAACAAGCAGTTCCACATCGACCACACCTTGGTGGACGCCCACATCTACTACACCAGCTCCAACAACGACGACCAGACGGACAACAACGACCACCAGAGCTACAACGACAACAAGCACTACCACCACAAGACGCCCGACGGTACAGTCAACAACATCGCGTCGCCCCCACCGTCCTGAACACACCACAATACCATCACCGGCAGTTGTGCGCCCAGTTGTGCAAGCCTCAAACTGCCAGCCAGGCCAATTCTATGCCGATCGCTACAACTGCAATGCCTACTATCAGTGCATCCAACCCGGTGAGCTGCATCAACAATTCTGTCCTGGTGGACTGCACTGGAATGATCAGAACAAGAGCTGTGACTGGCCTGCCTCGGCAAAATGTTCGGAAAGAAACAAGCCCGTTGCAACAGCGCATTCAGCTACTACTCGACCCACAAAATTACCTGGAACAACAGCCCGTGCACCCACCAAGCGTACAACCACCAGTTATGCAACAACACGCGTGCCCAATCGCACCACGCGACCCGCCACTACAGTAGCCCCTACAGCTCTGGCGACAACTTCAAGCAAACCAACGAAAAAACCTTCAAGCAAACCATCGCGCAAGCCCACGCCACAGAAACCACAAAGACCTAGCAAACCTCAGCGGCCAAACGCAAAGTGTAACAATGGCGAATACTACACACATAAGAAATGTGATCAGTACTACATTTGTATAAATGGTGCATTGGTGCCGAATTCGTGCGGAGGCGATCTACACTGGGATGCTATTCGCCAGACTTGCGATTGGCCCGAAAACGTGCAGTGCATCACAACCAAGCAGTACTTCCGTATTGTGAAGTCACAAGCGCTGCGTTCGGGCAATCCAGTGGCTCTGCGCAACTCAAACCCCAGCGATCCCTGCGATGGCGAAGAACGTGTTGCCTATCCTGGTGATTGCTCGAAATACCTATTCTGTCTATGGAATCGCTTACAAGGCAGTGACTGTCCTCCCGGTTTGCACTTTAATGAAGCGATTAGAAACTGTGATTGGCCACAATCGGCGCAGTGCACGCAAGATGAGGGTGGCCAAGGCGCGGGTGAAATTGAGAGTCTCGAGCCTGGTGTAAATGAAATCTCACAAGGAGGTCCGGTCGTAGTAAAACCAAAACCAACTAAGCGTCCCGCGCCTACCACCACTACGACGACGACACGTGTACCTCGACCCACCTATCCAACAGATAAGCCAATATTGGCGCCACTAGATGGCTATTACAAGGTAGTTTGTTACTTTACTAATTGGGCTTGGTATCGCAAGGGCGTGGGACGTTACACACCCGACGACATCAATACAGACTTGTGTACGCACATCGTCTATGGCTTTGCCGTGCTTGACTATTCAAATCTAGTGCTACGCACACACGACTCTTGGGCGGATATCGACAATAACTTCTACACACGCGTCAGCGGTTTGCGTAGCAAGGGTGTAAAAGTGAGTCTTGCCTTGGGTGGCTGGAACGATTCGCAGGGTGACAAATATAGCAGGCTTGTAAGGAATCCTACTGCCAGAGCACGTTTTGTCAAGCATGCGATCGATTTCCTGGAGAAGTATGGCTTTGAAGGTCTTGACCTCGACTGGGAATACCCTGTGTGCTGGCAGACGGATTGTAAAAAGGGTGTGTCGGATGAAAAAGAAGCATTTACTGCTTTGGTACGTGAACTCTCCGAGGAGTTCAAACCACGCGGTTTACTACTCTCGACAGCGGTCTCACCAAGCAAGAAGATCATTGACGCTGGTTACGACGTGCCGCAACTGGCTGAATACTTCGATTGGATTGCAGTAATGACCTACGACTTCCATGGCCAATGGGATAAGAAGACTGGACATGTTGCGCCGCTTTTCTACCATCCGGAAGATGAAATCGACTACTTCAATGCTGTGAGTTATAAAAGAGCTTGTGAAAAGAATCTTTATTTTATGCAACTTTTTTCTCCAACAGAATTTCTCGCTGAACTATTGGATTGAAAAGGGCGCGCCCTCACGCAAAATTGTTATGGGCATGCCATTGTACGGTCAGTCATTCACGCTCGAGAATGTCAAGACAAATGGTCTCAATGCCAAAGCACCTGGTCCTGGTAAAGCGGGCGAGTTTACGCGCGCTGCTGGCTTCCTGGCTTATTACGAAGTAGGCAACTGGTGACATTTGAAATTAAAATTAAAAGAAACTTATATTTTTTGCGCTTATAGATTTGCGACCGCATCAAGAACGATGGCTGGGAGGTCATACAGGACGAACAAGGCCGCATGGGTCCATATGCGCGCAAGGGCACACAATGGGTCTCGTTCGACGACCCGCCTATGATACGCAAGAAGTCGCAGTTGATACGTGCACTGGATCTGGGTGGTGGCATGGTGTGGGCTTTGGACTTGGATGACTTCCGTAATCGTTGTGGAGATGGCGTACACCCGCTACTAACACAAATACATGATGTGTTGAAGGATCCCCCAAAGGAATACGAAGAAATGCGTAAGTTTGCTAACGACTAACTGAGTTTTTTTTAATAAAAATTGATTACAAAATTTTAGCTGGTGTTACTGCCAATGATCCAGTAGCACCCAATACAGAAACCGAGTCGGGCGAAGACCTAAACACCATTGAAGGGTCTGTCGCACCTGAAGAGATAGAGACCGGCTTGGCTGAGGAAAATGTTATCGATCCCAATGGTGATGTCGAAGAAGTATCTGCGTCAGCGGAGCTAGGCGAACAAGCAGGTACAGGTACTGGCACCATTATAGGCACCGCCACAGGCACCGGCACGGCCGTGGAGAGTGGAACTCAACCTAGCGACTTCAAGGTGGTTTGCTATTTCACTAACTGGGCCTGGTACCGTCAAAATGGCGGAAAATTCTTGCCCGAAGACATCGATCCCGACCTATGTACACACATCGTCTACGGTTTTGCTGTACTGAACCGGGAATCCCTTACCATACAACCACATGATTCTTGGGCTGATTTGGACAACAAGTTCTATGAGCGCGTGGTGGCCTTCCGCAAGAAGGGTATCAAAGTGACCGTTGCGATTGGTGGTTGGAATGATTCCGCTGGTGATAAGTACTCCCGTTTGGTACGCAATGCTGCGGCGAGAGCGCGTTTCATAAATCATATTATTGACTTTATTCAAAAGTACGGATTTGATGGTCTCGATTTGGACTGGGAATATCCAGTTTGTTGGCAAGTGGATTGCAAAAAGGGCACATCGGACGAAAAGGATGCGTTCACTGCGCTGGTGCGCGAACTCTCGCAGGCATTCAAACCACAGGGTCTTCTCTTATCTTCAGCCGTCTCACCCAACAAGAAAGTCATCGACGCCGGCTATGATGTGCCATCTCTCTCACGTTATTTCGACTGGATCGCAGTTATGACTTATGACTTCCATGGGCAATGGGACAAGAAAACCGGACACGTTGCACCTATGTACGATCATCCTGCTGGCACGGAAACATTCAACGCTAACTTCTCGATTAACTACTGGCTGCAGAGCGGCGCCGATCGTCAGAAAATTATCATGGGCATGCCGATGTATGGACAGTCGTTCTCGCTAGCACAAGCATCGGATCATGACTTGAATGCGCCTACCTACGGTGGCGGTGAAGCCGGCGAAGCGACACGTGCGCGTGGTTTCCTCGCCTACTATGAAATTTGCTCGTATATTCGCAAACGTGGTTGGAGTGTGGTGCGTGATCCACGTGGTCGCATGGGACCCTATGCCTTCCAACGCGATCAGTGGGTCTCATTCGATGATGTTTCGATGATAAGGCATAAGAGTGAGTTTGTGCGCGCGATGGGATTGGGTGGTGCTATGATTTGGGCGCTGGATTTGGATGACTTTAAAAACGTTTGTGGATGCGAGTCTTATCCGCTGCTGAAAACAATTAATCGCGTTCTGCGAAACTACCCCGGACCAGCACCAAAGTGTGTGCTAGAGCTGAAGGACAACACCATGAGTAAGTGATACCTTAAATAGCTGGAGGCTGGAAGACTCAACTGTTCATGAATATTGAAATAATTTTCATTACTTTTTTTATAGTCGCCTCAGATAAGGGTCCATCGCAAGCGTACTCGGCGAAACCGAAACCGGTTGAAACTACGCGCCCCACATACTCCAGTCAACCTATCGAAACTGCAGAGCCACTTGCGATCGCTGCATTAGAGGACTTCGGTGAAGAGGAAACTAAACCATGTAATGGAAGAAACTTTGCGCCACACGAGCGTGACTGCAATAAATATTACATTTGTCAGTTTGAAAAACTAATCGAACAGAGGTACGACACCAACTTTTAATTTAACTAATTTTCAGTCTTTAACATTTGTCATTACACTTTTCAGGTGCCCCGCAGGCTTGCATTGGAATGAGTTTTACTGTGATTGGCCGCTAAACTCGAAGTGTTTCATGCGTCAAGAGGCAACCACCGGGCGTCCGAGACCCACCGCCGCAACGACGAAACGCCCGCAGCCTACGAAAGCTACAAGTCGGCCTAAGCCTGTAGCTTCTACATCGGCGCCACGTCCTACAAAGCCAACTAAAAAGCCCTCAAAGCTACCTGATAAGAAGCCAACTGCGCGTCCAAAACCACCAACATTGCCGCCCATTAATAGGAGTGGCGACTATAAAGTCGTCTGCTACTTTACAAACTGGGCCTGGTATCGTCCGAGTGATGGCAAATATTTGCCCGAGGATATCGATGAAAACCTCTGCACGCATATCGTTTATGGTTTTGCTGTGCTCAACTCTGAAACACTGACCATACGAACGCACGACTCATGGGCCGATATCGATAATCATTTTTACGAGCGCGTTGTTGCTTACAAAAGTAAAGGTATTCGTGTGACCATCGCCATTGGCGGTTGGAATGACTCACTGGGCAGCAAATATGCGCGCTTGGTATTAGATTCGGGCGCACGCGCGCGCTTTATACAAAGCATACTTACTTTCATTGACAAATACGGCTTTGAAGGTCTCGACTTGGATTGGGAATATCCCGTATGCTGGCAAGTCGACTGCACAAAGGGTGCGCCTGCAGAAAAAGAAGCTTTTGCGGCACTGGTACGCGAACTTTCGGCTGCTTTTAAGCCGCGTGATCTTCTGCTCTCTGCTGCCGTCTCGCCCAGCAAAAAGGTTATCGATGCCGGTTATGATGTGTCACAATTGGCGCGTTACTTCGATTGGATAGCTGTTATGACATATGATTTCCATGGCAACTGGGATAAACAGACTGGACATGTGGCACCGCTGTACTATGTTGATGGCGATACTAATGAATATTTCAATGCCAACTTCAGCATAAATTATTGGTTAGAGAAAGGTACACCACGTGAGAAGCTCATCATGGGTATGCCACTCTATGGACAGTCCTTCACACTGGCTGATGTTCAACAACGCGGTCTTAACACCAAATCAACTGGTCCTGGCCAGGCGGGAGCATTCACGCGCGCAGCTGGTTTCCTCGCCTACTACGAGATATGTGAGAAGGTAAATAACGGTGGTTGGTCGGTGATACGAGACGCGCAGGGACGTATTGGTCCATATGCCTACAATGGCAATCAATGGGTCTCGTACGACGACGTATCGGATATACGGCGAAAGGCACAGTTCGTGAAGAGTTTGGGTCTAGGAGGTGGTATGGTTTGGGCTTTGGATTTGGACGATTTCCGAGGGCGTTGCGGTTGCGGTAAACATCCGCTGCTGCGCACACTTACGCAAGAACTGCGTGGCATACCGGGCCAGAGAGCGCACGATTGCACGTAAAGGACAAAGGTGCTTGGTGCCTACGAATCTACGGATATGGAACATACTCATAGCTAAAAAAAAAAATTACTTGTGCCACTTATTTATGAAACATAAAAATTAGCGAAGAAATAAAATCATAATTACGATTTATTTCAAATCTGTTTTCAAGATTTGCATTACAAGTCGAATAATTTTAAACCGACATGATTTCGAAAAAAATACACATTAATTACTTTAGTTTCTATTTTTACATTAGATTTAACAAAAAATATATAAAATAGCAGAAATACTTTATATTCATGATTATTTCATAAGATATTTAATTAATAAATACGAGCGACTTTGTATACGACGAAAATCTCTAAACGTCATGTAAATTTGGGGATTTGAGAGGGCATATCATTTACAGTTACTCTACCATACAGAATACTGAGTGAAAATTTCTCAAGTGTGCCACCTAAATTTGGAAGGTCAAATTTTTTTGGCACAAATCACTTTATTGGGTTTACGACCATAACAAAAAAGTACAATTTAAGAAATTTTTCAAAATTCGCAGTTTTACAAGAGTTATTGTTATTAAATTTTTTGTTAATGAATTCAGTAATTATCTATTTCCCACTGATCCATACCATATATATTGCTGATTCTTTTTCATGATAATAGTTAGGTAGACACAAATAAGCCTGACAGTTCAAAGTAATAAAAATTTTCAGTTGTTAAAAAAAAAATTAATTTTTTTAAAAAATTACGATTATTTGAACAATCAGGCTAAGGGGTGCCTACTTAACTATTATCATAAGAAAGAATCAGCAAAATACATGATATGGATCAGTGGAAAATAAATAATTACTAAATTCATTTACAAATAAGTTAATAACAATAACCCTTGTAAAACTTCGAATTTCGCAAAATCGATCAAATAGTTTTTTTTTGTTTTTGGGCCTCATTGTGAAGGTGGTTTGAGGCGACATCAGGAGCTATCCTGTCGTGGTCCGGAGTGCCGCGTTCTGGCATGTCTGTAGCTTCGTACACTGTGTCCCTCTAATCCCCAGCGACCACACGTGCACTACATAGTTTAGGACCGGCCGCCCAATTGCCTTTTATGTTGCCAACAACGTTTCTTTGTCTTTGCGCCAGGTGCTGCCGGCAGCGACTTGGGGACTTTGTTGGGGCTCTGTACTCGATTGACAATTTCGGTTGTATGCGCCGAGAAGTAGAGCAGACTTTCGAAGGTAACTCCGAGGATTTTTGGGTTATTCACCGTCGGAATTGGATCGTCGTCGACGTGAATCCCCAGCTGCAGTCTGACCTCTTTCGTTCAGGTGGAAAAATGGTTGCCAAGGATTTCCAAGGGGAGAGAGTTAGGCGCCTTGCAGTAAATGAACGAAGTGAGGAATTCTGTTCGTTGAGTGCATTAGGGTACGCTAGTAACAGAAAAAGCGTTACTTTTACTTGAGAAATGTCATCGCCGCCTAGATGTGCAATCTTGTATTCTATCATTCTTACTCTGCTATCAACTAACACGGGCGTTTAGTGCACTCATCGAACAGACCTACTCTGTGACACGGCAAGGTGTAGAAAAAAGTGTACAGGCAGGTTCTGCAATTCACTTCCGAGTGAATTTTCACCAAAATCACTTTCAATTCAAATTAAAAGGGGGTAGAAATTCACTCGGGGGTGAATCGCAGAACCTATCTGATAAATATTAAGATGATTTGCTAAAAGTGAATAAAATTATGTTTACTGCCGCCTCTAAATTGGCGCGTCAAGCTACAAGAAACAGACAAAAATTCTCATGCCAATACAATTTGTATGAAGCATCTTACAATAACGCCGCGCTAGCGCTGACCAAATGGAATTTTCATATTTGAAATGGCATTACGTGTTGAAGTTAGATGCAGAAGGCAGAAAGAATGAAAGAGGACAAAAAAGTGAAAGGGGAAATGAGAATAAAAACCGAGAGGAAAAGAGACAACGTCATAAATTACGCCGCGTTTATTTGGGTATAGCGCGCGCTGACGCTCGTTGGCATAGAAAAACGCATGGCTTAGCACACCAATTGAGGAATGGCAGTTATTTGAACATGTCGAAGCGTTTTTCTAAAAATTCAAAAATGTATTACAAAATCATGTTAAAATTTCGGTACAGATCTACGGCGCACCCTGTATGGCGGCTGTTCCTAATCCCATTTCATTCCAATCGAAACATCCTAATGCAACCATGTAGCCCAAACAGCTGTTCATCCAAAGCACTTGTCACTAAAATTTTTTTTTGTTATTTTACTGTCCAGCAAACATGAAGTGGTGGAAAAGTGGTTAAAAGCGCAACAAACTAGAAAATTATTGGTCAAGAGAATTCGCAAAGCTTTTGTAGGCCAACTCGCAGTGCCAGCGCAAGTTTACACACGGATAGCAAAGGAGACCAGCGCCAGTCGGGCTTGTTAAAGCGTCGCAGAGACAACGCAATTGTCCGGGTGTACATCGAATTTCTGTGCTATTTTTAACTGATTTGCATTGCCACTGAGACACTGCAGTGTTCATTGGGGATTGCTAAGCTTAAAGCGAGTAAGATTCCACGCGTTAGCATACAAGCAGTGATACCAGAGAACGTTTATAAACGTTCTCCGACAGCGTTACCTCAACCCAAATGCTCGAGTGTCAGTCGCGAAACGCATGCTTATGTACGTGACGTCATTGCAAAAGCAACAATGAAACTATTTGGTATGGTGTGGAGAAGCTAAAAAATATAATACACATAAAATAATGGCAATATAAAGTGCGCGCTTAAGTGGTGGATTTATTAGAAACAATCCTTTAAAGTCAAAATAAAAGTGTAAAGTCAGTGATCACTATTTCTCAGAGCTTAGGTTTTAAGAGTTCCAAAAAAATGCAAGCAGATACATTCGTTTTTGCGCGCTATGCACGGACTTGTTTGTGTTTATTTAAAAAACAAACACGATTCTTATCACAATTAGGAAAACAACATAATCAGCTGCATGTGCTAGGAGGCACTGCACTTGCCACCAACTTAGTTGACACAAATCTCACTGCCAGCGCTGTCAATATTACCGGTGTCTTTTGTCAGCAGCGATGCCAGCAATATCACCTCCCCCGACTCCAAAATAAACCAACAAGTCGCCATACTAACATCCGTCAGTTACATACCACTATTTGTTCGCAATCCACAACGCCGGTGCGTGGCAAATATCCCACTGATACAGTGCATGAGCCACTATGCTCTGAACGCGCGCGGGAATTGGTCTACAATTTAAAGGATTCCGAGCGAGAAGCTATTAAGGTGGCCCTGTTGAAATACGATGCTGAACGCCAACGGGCGGGATTTGAAGGTATGTGCCGGGTGGCCAAGAAGTTGCCAAAAATATTACTTAATGATTCTTAAACTATTAGGTACCTAATTTTTTTTTTCGGTATTATGCTTAGTTTTTAGTTCAATAAATATTTTGTTAATGATTGTTGTTTTTGTTGTTGTAGCAGCATACAAATTCCCAAAAGACTTTTTGGTGAGTGTTGCTGGAGTGACAGTCCTTGGCCAGATATAAATCTGGGTCGTTCCGGTTACGTAGACCCGACTGTCGTGGGAACGTAATGCTTGTTGTAGTTTTCTTTGGCTTATGTGTACAACCACAAAAAAGCATGCATCTTTTTATGATGAATCATACTTTCTAAATTGGTTGCATGAGTATGACAAGCCAAAAGAAAATATGTTTTAAGTGTTTCTCTTTAAAACTTTGAGTTGAAACGATCATCCTTAAAAACCAGCATAGGAGGATATGCAATGATTCAATTATTATTACTCTGTCTAATTATTCTTCTATTATTGAAACATTATGACATGCAGGATATTTCTATAACAAACGAAGCTCTCAAGACATTCCAATCAATTTTTGAAAAAAGTTTCAGTCCTTTCTAACGACAACACCATCACTATTTGTAATAATACGTTATGCAAAATAAAACATAGATACATATATATTTTCTTTTTTCAATAAAAAAACTGTTTGCGTCACTCCAATTCTTCTTTACTTGCAACATTTATCAACTCCATGCTACTTTGGATTAGGTGTTGAAAGTACAAGTAAATTGGCTGTTGTCTTTTAAATGTAAAATTGTCTGCTCGTAAAATGTTTCCAAAATTATTTATTGAGTAGGAAAGTGCTGTAAACATTAACTAAAGAGAGTGAATACAGACAAATAATGGATGGATGTATGTATCTGATCTGCTTGGTACCTATTTTTCGCAGCTGCGCTTGGTTTAAGATGCACGTGATTTGGAATACGTGATTGAATTTGGTGTTACTGACACGGACGCTTGGGTAGCATATGGCTGCAGATACCCAGGCACCAACACACAAATCTCTATTGTAGAATCTACATATTTACATGTAAGCTGGCATGCTTTACACTGGTTTATTGCAATACATGTACATATGTATGTACAAGTGTATGCCTTTCACGTTCACCAAATAGCCTGAATGTATTTGCTAAGATTCATTTCTTTAAATTCCGAAATTTGTGTGAAAATTTGCTTTAAATTTCCTCGTCGGCCACATTGTGTGCTGCTTATCATATCATATATTTTGCTCAGAGCGTATGTATAGATACAGTTTCTTAAGAAATAATTGATACAATTTCTAAATCTTTATTTAAATAGAATACTTATGCGTGCACATCGCTTAGAATCTGTATACATACATAGATTCATGCGCTGCAAGAATTATGCAAAACAATTTTGGTTTGCTTATAAAAATAGCTAAAATACACATTACGTACAAACATTGATTTTACATATTGGAATTTCGCATGTTTAAATAGCCATTTCTCTATTGCTCGGTCATATTATATTATACACTTAGTAGAAGGAAAGCTTCAGATGACTCGATTGAAAAATTGTACTCTACGAAAAAATAATTTTCTTATTCCGAACTTCAAACACACAAAGTTTCGGGCCTACGTTGTCTGATTAAGCTGGTCTTAAATCAGCCCACGACCTCAAAGCACACTTTCTTCAAGATTTTCGCTGTAAAGAATTTCCATTTTGTATTTGCTGAGTAAACAGTCATTCTATACTCTGTAACCAATTGTTATGCATTTGTATACAACAACCTACCCTCTCCTGTAGAATGAAGGCAACCTAAAACATCAAACAAACAATACAACAACCTATCAACCTTCCCCATGCGTAGCATTGTACATAAGTACATACACATGAACACCATATGTTCCCTAGTGGTCATCTGATTAACTTAATTGACATTTTGATCAGTTTTTTATATTTTTTTGTTTACTAATTTAATGTTTATTATTTTTTTCCACACATTTCAAACATAAACAAATTTTAGGTATTTTAGGTATTCAGTTTTATAGCCCATTAAATTTTAGTTGCATAAAGTGAAAGTTTCAAGATGATAGAAAATCGCGTTGGTTTTTAGCTTACGGTGTTATGCATTTTCTTCCATATAAAGTATGCTCGACAATTTCTTTATATAGAAGACAATTCCTAGCGCCGTCAACATAAAGAATGTTTAAAAATCAAAGCGATTTTCTAGCGACTTGAAATTAGCACTCTATCTAACTGAAATTTAATGGGGCATATCAAATTTTTTGTTTTTGAAATTATGAATAAAAAGTTTGATTTTATTGGGCGAAATTGGTAAAGATTTTTGAATTTTTAAAAATTTTTGTACGAAGTTTTAAACGTGGATTTGTGTACCTATGTTCATATATGGTGCTTGTTATATAACGTGCGAAACTTTAATAAAAAAAAATAATAATAATAAGCATTAAATAAATAATAGAAAAATTGCCTAAACTCGTCAAAATATAACTTAACTTAATCAGCTGACCACAAGTGTAGTATGTATGCAGTGTGTGCTTTTAAACATTTCGCAGCAAAAATTTCGGTTCACATGCGAATAATTAACATAAATTTAAAATATTGGACCCATTGATTTTGATGTTGCGTTTGTTTCTCAAAAAATTGTAAGGTTAGCTATCGCGACTATGCGCACGTAGGAATTTTTTCAATTCGATGAGGCCCCGTGAACGAACAAATATATTTCTCTTCTAACTCACATCAATTTTTCCTGCATATTTCCCGCCTTTACGCTGCATTGATGTTGGTATATGTACATTAGGGCGGGTCATTTTGTATGGGACATTTTTTCGATTATGCGCGTATAGCGCAGAAGAATTCTACGTGTAATTTAAGCAAATTGCGAAAATATGTTTCTTAGCATTTTGATGTAGTGTCGTAAAGAAATGCTTGAATTTTGTATAAAAACATGATATAGTTTTTTTTTTTTTTTTGACATGAGGAACCCATTTATGGATTTATGTTTTTCTTAAAAAATCAACCAGAGAGCGCAAAATTTAAAATTTTTAAATTTTTTTTCGTAACCAATTTTCGCAATTTGGTAAACGGCAAATTGATTTTACACCCACGGGTTCTTCAGCGAATTTGTTTGAATTGCACATATAATCCTCCTATGCTATACGCGCATAGACAAAAAAAATGTACACGCCCTAATGTGCATACATCTAAATCGTTCCAGTTACATAGATCCGCGTTTCGCTTGAACGTTGGTTGCATCCACGCTACTTGCATGTGGCTATAACAATTTTCTATATATATTTTAAGCTTGCAAGAGCACTTAAGTAAAAGTTATAACAGCGATAAAGGTGTCCATAAATTAGTCATTCACTGCGGTACTCAAAACTACATGGGCTGCTCGTTGTAGCATTAAGTTAATAATAAGTGACGTAAGTCCTTATCAGTTTGTTTTCTCTACGAGTAAAAGTATTTTTTTTTTTTTTACTATCACTCTTTATCTGTAAATCTTTATGCCCATACTAGTCACAGCGAATATGAATAGGTACTCTGAGATTTTTTTTTCTCAACAGAACATAATTTTCTGCAAGGGGGCTTGAGTGTGTAGGATCTGTATGCTATCAGCGTCTATTCCAAATGACTTTCGCTTTTATATTTCGCTTTTATTTCATCTGCTACATTTTTCTTCAAATTATTCCATAATTTCTTTCCTAAAACATTATTTACTGACCTTTCAAGCCTCACTAATCTAATCAGTTGTACGTAATATTGATGTTGAATGAGCAGAGGCAGGTATACCTTGTGCGATTCCATATGCAAGCTGAATTTGGTTTCACTTTTGACTTTTTTGTGATTTACATATTACTATGTTTTATTTTCATAAATTTTTCGTTACATTTTTTCAAGGTATTTGATATTGTTGTTAAGAGCGCATAAAAATACGGTACACTTGGCGAAAGCGTCAGGTGTTCCATAATTTAAGACTATCTTTTGTTAGAACAAACATTTCGAGGTTTCTTCAAATCTAGTTTATTGAAAATTGTACTGAATCCTTCCTTGCTAACAAATTAAATTTCGAGTTAGTAATATTGATCCTATTCGATTTTCGCCTTTTTGTACATGAAAGTCCTACCTCCACGGTTCAAAAGCTTGCCAATAACATAAACAGAACTTAGTAAGTTTTCTACCCAAAATTGATTACAAGTTTAACTTTAAATTTAACAAGTAACTTTGTTGTTTAAACTTCCTCCATCAAATGGCAGCCAACTACATTCAGTCCACTGCGTTTGAGGACATTGATACGCTGTCTGCGTGCGCCTTTAAGATATCTATATGCAACATAGTTTTTAGACAACTTTCCCTCATCTTCTTGATGGTTCTTTGTTTTGCTCAAGTGGACAATGTAATAGTTACAGTTTTGTATACATATGTATATATCTATGCACATTTATAAATACATACATACATATATATACGTGGGTAAGATACTTTATTGGTTTATCTCTTTTATCAGCTCTTTCTTTTCGTACAAATTTGCAAGATAAGCTGCTAGTCTGCTGTTAAACTAACAGTTTGACGCTGAAATCTACTTGTCTCATGGCTTACTGCTGAGTGGTTTTTAATACCAAAAAAGTTTTTGAGTTCCTTATTTGAATTTTTAATCCCAAGTTAATTTACAAAGCATAGCGCTCATGTCAGACAATGGAGAAAAATTGCTCAGGCATTTTTGATGGAGTAGAAAAACGTTTTAAAATGAAACATATCACAGAAGTAGTTGGGAATATCTTCATGGACCATTTTGAACAACCTTCTTGATTGTCTTACTCTGTCTAAGTTCAGCACAAATTGGGTGCCGGATATAAGTATTAATGGTTAATCATGCAGTTGTGCATGGTGTACTACAAGCAACGTTGCCAGATTCACAGTTTTAATGTAAATTACAGTTTTTTTTAAACAATCTTATAGTTCATTTCAACCAAGCCTTAACTGCAGTTTGTG